CTCTCTCTCTCTCTCTCTCTCTCTCTCCTAGTGAGTCCCCTTCAACTTTTCTGCCCTCTTTTCTGAGCCAAGAAAAGGTCCCTTTCCTTTCCTATTCTTTTACAAGCTCACTAGCCCAGGCTAAAGTCATGCCTGTTGCAGATACCTTGAAGTACCCAGACCTCCAGGCCTCAATTCCCAGTGTGGCCAAAGCCATGGCTTTCATCCACCTTTCGGCTGCCAGCTACCATGGGCACCTGTGCCCTGAATTGCCACTCGTCACCCCCAAGACCTTCTTAGACTTCCTGGAGACCTTCATGCTGCTGCAACAACAGATGATCCTACAGATGAAGAACAAAGCTCAGCGGTGAGTGGTCCCATTCCCTGCCGTGTACCTACTTCTGCTCTCTCAAATACACTCACTGGGTCACTGTCTCTCCAGGTTCAACAATGCCCTGGGGAATCTGACAACAATATTTGAACAACACAATATCCACATCCACCAGGTCTCCATCTTGAAACAGGAGATGAGAGACTCCTACAAGGTAAGAGGGAAAAGACTATGGTCCAAAGCAGAAGCCCAAAAGGGGATTTTGGAGGAACCAACCAAACTGAACCTTAGTTCTTGTCTCTGGAGAGTCCCCTTTCCCCCATGAGATCTCTCTAATCCATGCTGCCTCCTCCTTTAGAACTTAGACTCAAAACTCCCCATAACACATCTGAGACCTGGCTGATTCTTCTAAACACATGAAACCCAAGTGTAGCTTCTGGTTTCCCCTAGTAGCTTGACTGTGTGAAGTTCAGAATGCTCCCCAAGGTCTCTGTAGATTCCATCAGGAATGGGGTAGGGATGACAGTCTCATGGTCACCTCTCCCTCTGATCCTCCGCTTCACCTGAATGTTCTATCAGTGTCAGATCCCTTGGTCATTTACTCAACAGCCATGATAGTGTGTGGTTCTCTCAATACTCCTCACCCCAGGAAATGGCACCACCATTCATTTAGGCATTTAAGCCAAATCCCAGAATTATTCTGGATAACTATCTCTTTTCTCTCTCATATTCAGTTGTTTCATTTATTCATTACTGTACTCAACAAAAATTAATTGAAGTCCACATTTTTTTGGTCCAGGCATTCATTAATATTTATGTCTATGTCTACATCTACATCTTATGTTTACATTTAGATGGATGGATAGATAGATAAATAGGTAGGTAGATAGATAGATAGATAGATAGAATCCTTGCCACAAGTTTCTGAGGTGGCTATTTCCCCCTACATTTTACAGATGAGAAAACTGAAATCCAGAGATATTTAGAACGAGCATTAAATGAGATCTTACATGTAAAGCATTTAAAAGTGCTGGCACATAGTAAGAGTTTCAATAAATGTTAACTACTATTAATATTAGGTTAGATTGCCTCCTAATAAGAAAGATAAGACACTGTCCTTGCTTTTATGGTGCCTAGATTACTGGAAGATATAAATGAGTCCAGGCAATTAAAACAGTGTATAATGACAGAGTAAGTCCAGGATACTCTGAAGTATCAAGAAAGACTTTCTAAAGAAAGCACAGAGCCACAGTAGGCACTCAAAAACATTCTTTAAATATGTAAACAAATGAATGAAGTACATCAACGTTGATAGCTAAAGATTAAGTAAGATTTTGCATAAACGGGGGTGGAGAGGAAGAATGTCACAGGCTGAAGCAACAGCATATGCCAAGGCCCAGAGGCAAAAGAATGGGTGCCACATTGGAGGAACTGAAAGTCAGGGATGGCTGGAGAGTAGAGTAATGGGAAAGGAAAAGGAGATGAAGCTGGGAAAATGAGTAGAGGCTTTCTGGTCACAGAGGCATTGTAAACCAAATGAAAGAATGGCAGGTGTGGTAAGGCACATGATGATGATGATATTTGGTTATTAGAAAACCAATCAGGCTACGGCATGGAAAATGATTTCAGGTGGGGATTAAGAGTAGAAGCCAGTACAGAAGGTCAAAAGTGAAGAGAACACAGGCATAGGTGATGGGTAGTGGGGATGGGAGTAGACATGAGAAATGGTAGGAGGAGATAATTGAAAGGAAATGCTTTGGGTTTGAGGGGAAGAGAAGAGATGGAGTCAGGGTGGCAATTACGTTTGGGAAACTTGGGTGTATTTTGCCACAATTCTAAGAAAAAGAATATATGAATGGGTGAGTAAGATTGCAAGAGATCTGAGGAAGCCAATATATACATTTTTCGACATGTGGAGTCTGAGGGGCCTATGAGACAACGAAGAGGAAATTTCTACTAAGCAGATAGATACAGGGTGAGGGGTTTGGGGAAAAATCTGGCTAGAGATAGAGACTTGGGAGTTGTTAAAATATAAATGGTAATAAAAGCCATGGGATTAGGGAGGGCACATTGAAATGTGGGGTGAGTAGAGAAGGGGCCCTGAAAAAATTGCTGAGGAATATTTAAGGGATGACAGAGGAAAAGACTGAGAAAGAGCAGCCTCAGAAATTGGAGAAAGCCAAAGGAGAACACGGTATCATGAAACTCAGGGAGAAAAATGTTTCAAGAGGAAGGGAACTGTCTCTGCGTCAAATGCCATTAGTGGGTCTAGTAACAGAAAAGGGAGCAAAATGGTCAAACATGTATTGCCTGGATCTGTATGGCAGGTCAGGAGAAGCAACCACCAACTTGGGGCTGCATCATTAGATATATAACTCACAGACCAGGAAGTGAGAGCGCAGCCTATATTAGTGGCTTATTTGGAGTTCAACTTGATCACCCTGACTATTAAGTGAGGAGTATGCTGGAGTTCCAAGCCCATGGAGTCTTCCCTGGGGTATTTCCACCTGGTCTAGGGTCTGGAGTTGCAGCCTGGCTCTCTGTTCACAGAAACTCAGCATATTGCGTCAGCAACTAGAGCACAGCAAGATCCTACACAAGCGGCAACTAGCGGAGTGTCGGCAGCAGGAGTCCCTCATTAGGAACCTGACCAAGCAGTGGGATGCCCTGCGGGCTCAGCATGAGGCTTTCCTGGAGCAGGTGGGCTCTCTCTGTCCCCTGCCCTGAACTGCTCTTCTCTTGGGAGAGGACAGCTCCTGATAGGATGCCCAGAGGAGAGGAGGGGGTGATTTGTCATGGAGTCTCCTGGGGGAGGGGACAACAGTAATAAGATGGCTTGAGGAATGGCCCCTTTATGGGGACTCCTAAGGGGAGACGATCCCTCTTGACCAGGGGTCCTCAAACTACGGCCCGCAGGCCACATGCAAATACAAATACTGTATTTGTTCCCGTTTTGTTTTTTTACTTCAAAATAAGATGTGTGCAGTGTGCATAGGAATTTGTTCATAGTTTTTTTTTTAAACTATAGTCCGGCCCTCCAACGGTCTGAGGGACAGTGAACTGGCCCCCTGTTTAAAAAGTTTGAGGACCCCTGCTCTTGACAATACCTTGAACAAAGAGGGCATTTTAAGAGCTCACTTCAAGAGGGAATTTGTCCTCATTTAGATGGGCAAGGCATTTCTTGGGCCCCTGAGCCAGCTGAAGGTGACTGATTTCGAGGAGTTACGAAGCTATCGAGCACCGCCAGAATCTGTGGTCCAGGTGACCAATGCACTGTGTGACCTGTTCCACCGTGAAAGAGGCTGGGCCAGTGCCAAGCAGCTGTTAAGCACTGAAGATTTTTATCAGGTAGGGAATGTGGGGCATAATAGATGAGGAGAGCAGAGACGTAAAAGGAACACTTGACAAGGTAAGAATGAGGGAGTAAGGTTCCGAGCATCTATGTCACCCCCATTCCTTTTAACATAAACTCTCCCAGGAGCTGGTGTTCTTCCCCAAGGAGAAGATGACGGACTCGGAGATAATAAACTTAAGCATCGCCCTAAAGGCTCCAGGTATGAGTGACGCAGCTTTGCGGGCAGTAAGCACACCTGCAGCCAGCCTGGCAGCCTGGCTCTGGGCTGTTCTGCGCCACAGGCTGGCACAACACCGAGGCCTGCCCACGGGCCTGCTGCTGCGGCAGGTAGAGGCGACACTGGCTCGGGAGCAGGCCCAGCTGGCCCACTACCAGTTCCAGTCTCAGGAGATCCTGGAGCACAATTTGGCCCTGACTACGCAGCTGGAAGGTATCCAGGCTTCCCACAGCCATCTGGTAGAGAGTCTCAATTGGAGTCAGTCTGACCAGTATCACACGTGGCCCATAAAGGCTGCATTGCTCGAGCCCATGCATTCCTGGACTGCAGAGCTCCAGGTAACCAGCCCCTCCCAGATTTCCCCCCAAAGTTCATTTCTGCACCACTGCCCGCATTCCTCCTCCTCTCAGTGCCCTCACTGCCTCCCTCTATCCCACTCTGCCCCTTTGCCATGCTTTCCTTTATACCCTGCCTTGCTCCCTCTCTGCTAGACCCTCTGCCTCTACCCTCCTCACTGGCCTGCACACCCTCTGGTCTTCCCTTACACACTAGAAGTTGAAGAGGCAGTGCATGACTGTGTATGGCGATGCCCTCCTGTGTTCAGCTGCCATCGTTTACCTGGGTCCCTTCCCACCATTAAGGCGCCAGGAGCTACTGGCAAAGTGGCTGGCTGTGTGTAAGGGCTTTCAGGAGACTCTGGGCCCAGATGACGTGGCACAGGCCCTGAAGCAGAATCAGAAATCTGTCATCACACCACCAAAAACGCCCCTGCTCTCCACGTGCTCTCCCTTTAGCCTTCTGTCCTTACTGAGCTCTGAATCCGAACAGTTCCAGTGGGACCGAGACCTGAAGCCCCGGGCAAAGTCAGCTCGCCTGGCAGGCTTGCTTCTGCGAAGTTACACCCACTACTTCAGTTGCCGTTGGCCTCTGGTGCTTGACCCCAGCAAGCAGGCCCTCAACTGGCTGAACCCACTGCCTCTGGAGCATACTAGATACATGGCCCCAGTTCCCACCAAGGGCAGAGGTAAAGCCACAGATAATAATCATAGTGTTTCTCGGGTGTCTGAACTGCCCGGCATCGGAGCCAGAGTGACATTCCCTTTCATAATTACATTTTCGTGGCCAAGGAATCCCAGGTTTCACAGCCTATTAAATTAGGTCACATTTACATCTTTTGGCCCAAATTGCAATGATTCTGAATCTATGTGTCTGACCATTCCATGATCTTTCACTTCCCTGATCTGCTTAGCACTACTGGAAACTTGGCTAACAACTCAGAGCTTTACAACCCAAATTTGTTCCTATGTCCAGGAATTCTGGGGAAATATATCTATTGGTTCTGCTTGGATCAGCGACCCATCTGGGTGGAGTATGAGAAGGAACATTTTCTAAGGGAAGGGAGGGAGGGTGTTTATTTCCCAGAAGAAAGGGTTAGGGATGAGAATAGCAGATATCTCTAATGGAAGGTGTATGACAAAGGGGTCTGTAACATAGGCTCTATAATCAGACTACCTGGGTCAGTCATTTGTCCCTTGCTAGCTGTTGACCTAAGGCAAGTTCCTTAATCTGTTTATTTGCCAATAAATTGAGGGTCTTACTTATACCCATCTCATAAAGTGTTGTGAGTATTAAGTATGGTAATTCTCATAAAAGGGGTTCATACAGTGCCTAATATACAGGTTGTCCTCCCAAAATGTATATGCACTTTAACAATTGATAGCGCAATTTTGAAAATGAAATGTATTTTAATAAACACTGCCTTCAGAATTATCCTAAGTGTGTGTATACATTAGTATACATTTTTTCTGGGGAACACTATATAAAAAGTTCTCCAAAATGTTAGTCTTTATTACTACTAATATATTACTGCTGCCATTATTACAGTCCATCCCTTGGCTATTCAGCACTACTTTCCATTGTGCCCATGCACCATTATAAAAATGCCCATTATAGAACTATCACATGGGTAACTCTAAATGAATTCACTGCCTAACAGCCACTTTTTGCATACAATTCTGAGTCCAGAAACTCTGAATGGTATTCATTGCTCTTGATTAGATCTGGATGTGGAACCTTGTGATTCCTTAACCTATGATAGATTACATGCCATCTCACCATACCAACAAACCTGATATACAAAATGAAGCAAAATCAAATCAAGATAACTACTATAAACTTTTGAGATTTTTCTGGCTAACCCCCTTAAATATCTCATCTTTTTACTACAGATTTCATTCATAAGGACTCTATTAGCTATTAAAGAATGCAAGAAATCTTGATACATTCTCAGTCTTGAATTTAAACCATACCTTCTAGCTTCTGTCTCTTAACATGGTTCTGGGGGCTCCACCAATTCCTTGGTGTACTTATCATCCATCTAAATCTCAGCCTTGACCTCAGAGCTGTAAGTAAGAAAATAGTCTGAGTAGTGAGCTCAGGCTGGTTGGCCAGGGAATTTAGGCCCTATTACTTTGAGCTGTATCCAAATCCAAAGAACTTATCTTTATCAAGCAGGAAGTGCATAGAGAGAAGTGCTTGGGATGGACCTAGCGTCAGGAAGCCCATTCCATGCAACATGAGTTAGAGAATCATCTTTGCAGATCAGCCAGGGGTATGACTATCTTATCATCTGTGGTCTGAACTTGCTTGATATGAGCAGAAAGGAATTTCCTTTAAGTTTCTCTCACTGAAGTAGAGAGGTAGCCAGCACACTCCAATATCTTCTAATAAATCCACTAAAGTTCAGTGAGCACATAGTCTAAGTTTCATGAGATAAACCAGCCTCTTACCTACCACATAGCCTAGCTGCCTTCCCAGTAGGAAAAAGAAAAACCCTCATTGCTTCCTCCAACCCCCATCTTGCTGTCACTACCAGTAACAAAAACCCAACTTATCACGGCTTAAATAGGGATTTGTTTATCTCACATTATAATAAGCATGAGGTAAGTACAGGGCTTCCGTGTTGCCTTCAAGCACCCAAATTCTTCCATCTTTCTGCTCTATGATCATTAGCATGTTGGCTTATCACATTGTAGTGGATTGAATGGTGGAACCCTAAAATATATATCCACATCCTAACCCCTGGAACCTATGAAAGTGACCTTATTTGGAAAAAGAGTATTTGCAGATGTAATTAAGGACTTTGAAATGAAACCACCCTAGATTGAGCTGACCATATATGTAATGACAAGTATCCTTATAAGAGATAGAAGAGCCTGGACGGCATGGCTCAGTGGTTAAGCATTGATCTATAAACCAGGAGGTCATGGTTCGATTGCCAGTCAGGGCACATGCCTGGCTTTCGGGCTCCATCCCCAGTGTGGGGCGTGCAGGAGGCAACCAATGAATGATTCTCTTTCATCATTGTTGTTTCAATCTCTCTATAACTCTACCTCCCTCTCTGAAATAAATACAAGTAAAATTTTAAAAAAGAAAAGAGACAGAAGAGAAGGCATAAGTACACAAAGGGAAAGCCATGTGAAGATGGAGACAAATAGTGGAGTTATGTAGCTACAAACCAAGGAACTCCTGAAGCCACCGGAAGCTGGCAGAGGCAAGGAAGGAGTCTCCCTTAAAGCCTTCAGAGGGAGGGCAGTCTTGCCAGTGCCTTGATTTTGGACTTCTGGCCCCCAGAACTATGAGAGAATAAGTTTCTGTTGTTTTAAGCCACTGTATTTGTAGTAATCTGTTGCCTAGTTGGCTGCTATCCCTCTAAGCATCATGTCAGAATCGCTGATAGTCATTTCTGTTCCATTTGTCAGGAAAACAAAAGATCTTTCAGAAGTCTGAATAGCCAGATGTGGTAGACAGAATTGTGGCTCTCATGACCTTTGCCTCCCCCTTCCCCCGGTGTTACACTCATAACTATGTTCTGTTACATGGCAAGAGAGACTTTGCAGATGTAATTAAAGTTACTAGTCAATCAACCTTAAGATAGAGATATTATCCTGGATTATCTCTGGGTTGCCTCAATGTAAACACCTGTGCCCTTCAAAGGAGAAAGGAGCAAAGAAAAGAAAGATTTGAAACACAAGAAGGATTCAATGAACCGTTCGTTGCTGGCTTGAAGGTGCAGTGGGCTACAGGGAA